TTATCTAGTTATCTAATTCGGAGCTCCTCACGGTGGAAACGATAAAATGCAAAGCCTCATGCAATTCCCACTTTTCATATGAAGAACAATGTAGGTAACAGCAAAAATGTTTTAATTAATCTAGGAAATACATCTGAAAATTCCCACAGCCTTGGAAGCGAAAAGGAGTGAGTTTAAACCATTATATATTGAGTAGTTTTTTCATCTTATTTGAAGCTTCTACAATATTTTGCTTGTAGTTAAATATCCCACCTGTATATCAGGTGTTTTCAAGGCTTTCTGTTGACTTTTCTTTTGTGAATTGGAGGAAAATAGCTTCTAATTTATTCAAAACTTTAGATGCATTGCAAAATTCGATGACAATCATGTTTCGTTGCAACCATGATAAAGCATCAAAATGTATCAAAATGTTTGGAGTTTCGGGATGCTACAAAAAATATAGATAGACGTATAGATAAATGGATATAAACAGACAGCCACATAGACAGATAAAGAGGTGAATAGACGAATAAATAGACAGTTCTATAGATAGAAAAAATAGATATATATATAGAAAAAATAGACAATTATAGATAGAAAAAAATATATAGCTATACAGATAGATAAATAAACAAGCAGATAGATAGATAGATGGAGCTGGGGAGAGAGAAAGACAGGAAGAAATTCATTCACCTCAAGAGACTCGCCAAAATAACAAGCAAGCCTTAACTCTTTCGCCATCTATCGTGCCCTTCTTACCTGGAGACCTTGCCTCGCCTCCCGCATTTCCTTCACAAATCGCAACACGTTCGAAACATGTTCAGGAGCCAAGTCAGCTGGTCGTAGTTCATGGCCGTCGACAGATGATTGGATCGTCTGATTGTAGGTGATTATGATTATGCTTTTAAAAACAATGAAATGATTGTGATTTTAGCTTGCTTTATGGTTTCCTCTTCGCGTGCAAGGTTGGATGCAGTTGCATGCAATCACAAATGTGTTATGATACCCTTTATTTATTTATTTATGCTTTATTCTTCCTTGCTTGAAAGTTGTGATTTCTATCTGTCTGCCGCCATCTGTCTGTTTGTCTCCTTATCTTTGTCTGTTCGTCTGCCTGATTTATCATTCATTGTTTATCATCCATCACATATCTAGCATGTTTTATTTACTTCACTTACCTGCCCTTTTGTCTCTTCTGTTGACCAGTCTGTCTGTCCGTGCGCCTGTTATTTATTGATTCACCTTTCTCTCTTCCCAATCCACGTATTCTGTATTATGCAATCGGTTATTTCTCTCCCTTCCCTCTCTGATTCTTTCTCTTTCTTGCTATTCCCCTTTCTTGTTATCTTTCTCCTTCTAAAACGTACTTTGTGTTTGTTTGTTTGTTTTTTTCTCTTCCCCCCCAATGTTTTCTCGGTGTTCTCTTTCTTTCTCCACATGCGCTCTAAATCTCTTTCCCCTCATTTTCTCTTTGATTTTCTCACTTCCCCTCATTTTCTTTCATTCTCTCTTTCCCCTTAATTTCTCTTTTTCACTTCCCCTCATTTTCTCTTTAATTTTCTATTTCCCCTCATCTTCTCTTTCATTCTCTCTTTCCCCTCATTTTCTTTCTCTTTTTCCATTTTCTCTCTAATTCTCCCTCTTTCCCCTCATTTTCTCTATAATTCTCTCCTCATTTCTTTTTCATTCTCTTTCCCTTTATTTTCTCTTTAATTCTCTCTTTCCCCTCATTCTCTCTTTCATCCTCTCTTTCCCCTTATTTTCTCTCTCTCTTTCTTTTCCTCCTTTTCTCTCAAGGTCTCCCTCTTCCCCCTCATTTGCTCTTTCATTTTCTCTCCCTTTATTTTCTCTTTCTCTCTTTCCCCTCATTTTCTTTCTCTTTTTCCATTTTCTCTTTAATTCTCCCTCTTTCCCCTCATTTTCTCTCCTCAAATTCACCCTTTCCCCCTCATTTTCTGTTTCTCTCTTTCCCTTCATTTTCTCAAAATCTCCCCCTTTACCCTCATTTTCTCTCTAATTCTTTCTTTTCTCTCATTAGCTCTCCCCCCTCATTTTCTTTCCTTCTCTTTTTCCCCTAATTTTCTCTCTAACTCTCTCTTCTCCCCCCCTCCCTATGTGCTCTTTACTTCTCTCCTCCCTCTCATTTTCCTTCTAAATCTCCCTCTTTTCATTCGTGTTCTTTCTCCATGTTGATTATCTCTCTTGTTTTCTTTACCTTTATGTTCTCCCTCATTCTTTTTCTTTCCGCCTATTTTTTTTTTTTTCTAATTTCCCCTATACCCTTTCTACTTCTCTCTCTTTCCTCTCATCTTTTCCTTCTAATTCTCTTTCTTTCCACTCTTGTTCTCTCCAATTCTTTCTCTTTCCACTCCTGTTCTCTCTAATTCTCTCTTTTCCCCATCACATTCTCTCTAATTCACTCCCTTTACCCTCTTGCTCTCCCCTCATGTTATTTCTATTCCCCTTCATGTTCTCTCTTCTCTCATGTATTTTCTCTTTCTCTCATGTGTTTTCTCTTTCTCTCTTCCTTCCCACATTTTCCACTTAGAAGAACAAGAGATAGAGCATGATAACTAGTTTAAAAGTTTAAGTAATAAAGATGGTGCTTAAAGATGATGTATGGTTCTTGCCTTTTATGCTGTTCATGTAGGTTCTTGATTGTATGTGGGTGTGGGAAGAGAGAGGGGGGGGAAGAAGGGAGAGGGAGGGAGGGATAGAGAGAGAGGGGATTGGAGAGGAGGAGGGGGGGAGGGAGAGGGGAAGGAGGAGGGAGAGAGAGGGGGAAGGAGAAGGAGGGAAGAGAGGAGAGACAGACAGACAGACAGACAGACAGAACGAGAATAAGGGAGTCAGTGCACCCGCGAAGACCTCAACAAAAGACAAACACGTTATGGAACGACATTTAATCAAGAATCTATCAGACTGCATTTGATTGAGATGAAGCCTCATAACACGGAACGCGAAATACCGAATGTCTATTAGCCTTTTGGCAATGACTCACACTGGGTTCTTTATCTCATTGCAATATGGCTAAGTACAGCAGACTGAATTGCATTGTATTGGGTTTGCAATTCCGAAAGGCAATGAATAGGTGTTCGTAATATACACACTTTCATATCCGCTTACTCCTTTCACCAAACAGGATCTTAAACAAAATTGCTTTGTATTGAAGACAGTGGTTTGGCTGCACCGCATTCCGAGAATTGTTTTCCAAAACTTTGTATTTGCTCAGTATATGCATACAATATCTTTCTGGGAATTTTCGTCAGGACTCAATAGTCGGTCAAACTTTCGCTGTATAATTTCAAATAAGGGATCATCATAAGCGTTGTATGTCCGTTTTTGTGTTTAGATTATTTTTAGGCTTACTATTATCATCACCCTTTTTATGATCCTCCTCTCTATCCCCTACCATTATCATAATAATCACCATCATCATCACCATTATCAGCCTGTATCCAAGACCCTCCTCAGGGTATAGCTCACCATAAACTTGAAAAAAGCAAGTTCTCTTAAGCTAAAGATTACGGGCCTTTTATAACACACGCTTCTCCTAGATCAATTGAAATAATTTGCGTTTGGAGGCTGGGTCTTCTTCTCAATCAAATGTCTTCTAAAGGGGTGGTCACACGAGCGTTTTTACACCGATAAATCAACGGAAATTTGAACTTTTCCACTACCCGCAACATCCAAGTCGACAATACCTCTGATGAGAAGCATCGTTCAGATATCGAGGAAGTGGGTTGTCAAGAAAGAGTCTATAGTTTGTTAGGGAAAAATACTCAACTGCGTACCTAAAAAAAATATTTATATTTAAATTAATATAATTTTATCAACATATATTTTAATTTATACATTTATATTTTCAAAGTGTGCTTATTAATTATCCACGGAAATTCATTTGAGCTACCGTGACGTCATCATTGTTTACAAGCGCGCGTCTTCCAAGTTCCTCAAAAAGAAGCGTCTGTATGTTTTGCCAAAATCACCTCAACATTAATATGGACGGCACTGTAGCATGGACGAAAAGAAGCATTGTAGCACTCATCGAGAAGGTGAGGGAATTCCCCTGCATCTGGGACTTCGAATGCCCAGATTTTGAGAAAAGGCTTCTGAAGAGGGATTGCTACCATCGCGTATGTGATTCCTTGAAGGCGGAATTTGTTGAGATGAAGGACCTCACTCCAGGTATTTATTGTTATTTTGTTATTTGTATTTTATTGGTATTGTGGCCATAATAAATTTTATACTCAATAACAGCAATAGTAATAGAAATAGTAATAGCTGAACTCCTGTAGGCCTGATTAGTATTTGTGCTTTCTTCAAAGATTTGTGATCCAGTTTTAAATTATTAGTCTATCTGGATAGACTATAGGGAAAACAAAGGTTTTGGTAGTGAAAATCTCTTAAATTAAATATCAGTCTAAACTGTTCATATTTATAATAATGGTTATCATATGGTCAGTGTCTTCATTTCAATATTAAATATACATTATCTGTATCATAAGGAGGTTCACTGCCCTGATGTGTGCACACATACATATATGATACTAATTAGCATACCTAGACTAAAAGAGCTAATATATTCCAGATCTTGCAAAGACTAAGTTCAATCACTTGAGGACCTACCACCAAAGGAAACTTAGAAAAATTGAAAAGACACCTAGTGGATCAGGGGCCCACAAATTCCAGATGGGAGTATTTCCAGTACCTCCTACATGCAGCCAATAGGGAATTTGTACCCAGGGAAAAGTAACTTGAAACTTCCACCAAGAATAAGCGAGGTAAGACTTTTTTCTCTCACATTTATTTCAGAATTATAAGTAGTAATATTAAGTTTTAGTATATCAGTCTGAGAAGCTGATGTAAAGGTTTTGTACTTCTCAAATCTGATTTTATAATGATTTTATTTGTTAATAAGGAGCTGTATATTTGTGTATTCCTCTCTCTTTTGTTTTTCTTTTGATTATAAGTTTTCTTAATTTTAGAAACATGAAATGATAAGGTTCCTAACTTATTGTTTATATCTGTTTAGATTTGTATAATTTTAATAGGATGATTAATAGATATTATGTGGGTTCTGATAGCAGGCTTTGATTAATTTCACATATCATATGTATACATACATATATTAAAATTTATGCATGTATTCACACATAAATATGGAAACGTATACGTGTCTATATATATATATATATATATATATATATATATATATATATATATATATATATATATATATATATATATATATATAATATATATATATATATATATATATATATATATATATATATGAAACGTATCCATGTTGACAAATGTAGAAAAGGTATGAATGAGACTGGATATCTTCACAATACAAGAGATGTATTTGACCGGATTCGATTACGTCTTCATCAGAAATACATACATAAGAGAAAATACATAGCATATACATACTACATAGGAGCTGGTAGATCACCTGACGACTGTGACCTCGCACTCGTTATGCGCATAATTGCAGCTGCGACCTTGGACACTTTAAACCTGCCTGATGCGGTGTTCATATTCTTTTTTGTCGCGATGTATGCAGCTTCCATGACCTTCCTTTTATGTTTAGTCAATCCTTCATGGATTACTTCGGCTTCCTTCCAGTTCGGTAGATGTCCAGCTTCATCTACATGAACTACCATGACATTGGAAGTCCTGTGGTGACGGACGTCGGCTCGATGTTCGATGATCCTGGTGTTGAAGCCTCGTCCCGTTTCACCAAAATAGGCCTTATCGCAACCGCTGCAGGGTATGCGATATACTGCACTGTTGGGGTTGCATTTAAACTGCTTGTCTCGTATCATATCGTGTATGTTTTCCCGGATGTGCTGGCGATTTTCACTGTTTTTCCAAAGTATTTGCTGATCGCCTGGGAAACGTTACATGGAGGCAGTATGAGGAAGTCAGAGGATGTCATTGGGGTTGATCTTGCAAGTATGTTCTCCGCCTTCTTCCTGAGGTTTAGCAGGAGACCTTTTGGGTACTTATGTTGCATAAAAGAATTAATTACATATGTAACCTCAGTCTCAAGAAACTCAGGGCTGCAGATCCTCAGTGCCCGGAGAAAGAAGCTAATTACAACCCCAGATTTTGTTTTGCTGCTGTGGGCGGAGTAATAATGGATATGGAGTGCAACTGTGCAAAGGATTACGTCTTCCACATTTTTAGGAGTCGTACAAATTGGCTGTTTGAATACCCTAAATTTTGCCGAGAGTATTCCAAAGGCATTTTCGGAAACACGCCTTGCACACAACCGATAATTAAACACTCCTTGTTCAACACTCAGGTCTTTTCCAGGATAAGGCTTCATCAAGTATAATTTTAGGGGAAAGGCATCATCACCCACAATCATATATGGACACCGAATATTGGTGAATGGCAGAGGAGCTGGTCTTGGAACATTAAAAAATCCAGTGTCCATGGCTTCACGCAGAGGACGCTTATCCCATACCCCTGCATCACTTGCTCTACCAAGAGACCCTGCATGAATAAAAATAAATCTATAGTCCGCATCTACCATAGCTAACATTATCATACTGTTTTGGCCTTTGTAGTCATAGTACTCAGAACCGGATTTTGCAGGTTTGGCAATCAAAACCCTCTTGCCGTCAATTGCGCCTATGCAGTTGGGGAATTCCAACGAGTGAAAAACTTGTGTGCCACTTTCTGCCATTCCTCTGAAGTACTTGGAATCTTCAGATATATTGGCTCGAGTACTTGATAAAGTGCCTGGCAAACCGATGGTATGATACTCGAGATGAGATTATGGCTAATGCAGAATTGAAAGGCCAATGTGCGTCGAGTCTCGCCTGCAAAGAGAAGGTGAAACAAAACTAAAAATTCACGTCTTTTACATTAAAACATCCTTACAAGAAATTACAATATACTGTAAATTACAAATGTAAGGACAGAATATTTGCTATATATATATATGTGTGTGTGTGTGTGTGTGTGTGTGTGTGTGTGTGTGTGTGTGTGTGTGTAACATAACACATATGCAAATATCAAAGCATTAAAATTGCATCAAATTTAGGTTTTATCTAACGTATTTCAGTATTTGCGACTTTTCCCAATAATACTGTCTTTAATTTATGCCCTGTAGTCAATTACAGTGTGTACATGTTATAATTTATCATAAAGGTCCGTAAATAAGTAAAAGTTGACTGAAATTGCTGATTAGTTTTAAAAAATACTGTAATGTTTATTATTCCTCATCATTCAGGTTTTTACTGCAATTTATGAAAGTTTTTTAATCTATATTCAGAGACTGAATACTGGGTTTGATAACTATAATTTTCATTCTTAAATAAAACAAAAAGACATGTTGGAGAGTGGGGCTATTTTCAAGATTATTTCTTACCTGAGCAAGATATCGGAGAGTCACAGCTAGTCGTTCTTCTGGAGTTACTGCCTTCCTCATATTTGTATCACTTTTGCAAATGAGAGGCATCCCTAGCAGTAATTCACAAAAACAATTTCTTGTCATCCTCATGAAGTCGTGGTAGCCTTGATGGTCCTCCAAACGGAGTTCCTGCAGCAGAGTATGGTATAAACTTCTGCTATTTCTTCTCTGCAACCACGAACGAACCTACATACGCCGTTTACGTAACCTTTCAGCCTCCATTGTAGCTGCAGATAACAAAATACTTGCGAGGAGGGACGCGCGGCAAATCCTCGTAGACGCCATGTTTGTCGCTGATATTTCGACAAACATGACAAACTTTTCTGTGACCAGCAAGGTGGGAAACCGCAGACAAATCGTTCCGGCTACGGGATCATATCATAAACTGGTTGTTGAAAAAAAAAGCGCTCGTGTGACCGCCCCTTAAGGCTTATATATGATACCTTTGTTCCCGTGTGAATACAATGGTAGATTTGTCATTATCAGCATTATCCCCATGTGATGATGGTAATAGTAATAATCATGATAACCATTATAACAATAATAATTATTGTTATAAATAGAAAACAATAATGATAATAAGAAAACAATAAAGATTGTAATAATGGTGATCATAGTAATAACAATAATTATGATAATAATGATAATGATGGTAATAAAGATGATAATGATGATAGTGATAATAATAACATTAATAATAATGTTAATGATAACAATAATAACAACTTTAATAATAATGATGATAGTGATAATAGCAATAAAAATATAATAATGATGATGATAATAACAGTAGTAGCAATACCACTAGTAGTAATGATGATGATGATGATCATGATGATCATAATGATAATAATAATAACAATAACAACGATAACAATAATAATGATGATAATGATAGTGAGAATAATGATGATAGTGATAGTGAGAATAATAATGATAATAATAATAGTAATATTGACATTGATCATAAAAAATAATGATGATATCAATGATAATATTGATAAAAATAATAATAACAATAAAAACAACAATTATAGTCATAATGACAGTGATGATAATAACAATGATAATAATAATTGTAAAAGTAACAATAATGATAATACTAATAATGATAACAATACTAACAATGACTATAATAAGGATAATGATGATGATGATGATGATAGTAATAGTAATTATAACAATAACAATAATGATGATAAAAAATATTAGTACTAATAATGATAATAATAATAATGTTAATAATGATGATCATGATATAACAACAACAACAATAAAGATAGTAGTTATAATAATGACAGTAATAATAATATTAATATCAGTGATTGTTATGCTGATAATCACCATTATCAGCATTATAACAATCATTATTATTATGACTGATAATAGTAGCAGTAATGAGAGTAAGAGAAATAATGATAATGAAAATGATAATAATATTAATTATATATCATTATCATTATTATCATCATTATTATTATCATTATCACCTACGCCAAGGAGGATATGTTTTAGTAGCGTTCGTTAGTTGGTTAAGAGGATAACTGAAAAAAAAGTTATGAACAGAGATGTGTTTGTGTTACATAGATTATTAATTTCGTTGGTGATCCTGATCCTGCGCAAGATAAATCAACAATTATGAGCCGATTTTTTATGATTTCTTTACCAGGGTTGTGTCTTCGCCCAACTTAGATGTCCTCAGATTTCGTTGGTGATCCGGATAATGACCTGGATCCAGATATCTTTTTTAAAGGATTCATGAGCATTGCGAGTGAGGGAAACACAGAGCTCGCGTCATCAATGCCCTTGAGAAAGAGGTGATTTTAATGTAATTCTTAGAGTGAACATTTTCATTGCATCAGTTACCCTATTGTTCTGACGGAGGTATGCGCTCTCTGGGTGCTTCGAGTTATTATCATTATTAATACCTCCGCCAAGGAATTTATGTTTTGGTAGCGTTGGTCAGTTTCCTGGTTAATTGGTTAGCAGGATAACTCAAAAAGTTATAAACAGATTTCTATGATTTTTTTTACTAGAGGTGTGTCTTGGGCAAATTTTTAGGTTTTAGATTTAGATGTTTTTTTTAGATGTTTAGATTTTTGTGTGTTGTTTTAGTCCAATTTAGATGCTATTAATTTTTTTTTTTTTTTTTTTTTTTTTTTTTTTTTTTTTTTTTTTTTTTTTTTAAGAATTCATTAGTATTGTAACACGGACGTCACCAGTATACTTGAAAGAGGTGATCTTAATGTAATTCGACAAGTGTGAATATTTCTTTTGCTTGTGACCCTATTACCTTGGCGGTTATTATTATTATTATATTATTATCATTATCATTATTATTATTCCTTATTATTATCTTATTATTATCATTACCATCATTATTTTTTTGTAATTATTAATATATTTGATATTACTATATTGTTGTTATTACGCTAATCATCATTACTACTAATGTTGTTATTCTTACAATTGTTAACTTCTATCATCATTAATATTACTGCTATTATCATTATGCTGCTACATTTTATCAGTAATATTACAATCACTTTTATTGCCATTATCATTATCATAATTTAATCATTATTACATTGATCAATGTTATTAGTATGATGTTATATACTATCACTTATATTGTTACTGATGATAATGTTTTTATTAATGTAAGTATTATTAAAATCGCTGTTACCTATTATTGTTGTTATTCCCTCTATCATTTCAGCCATCCTTATCTTCTTCTTTTCAGTACCACATTATCATCGGTATCCTTCTTAGGTATCCATCCCCTATTTTTTGCTTTTCTAGCGAAGGAAAATCTCAATTTCTAATTTCTTTCTTGACTCAGGCAATCAGAGTTTTGTATCGTTTTCGGAAATCTGCGCTAAAAAAAAAAATGTCTCTCTGGGAACTTTTTTTCGATTCGAGTGCGAACAACAATTTCATGCTTGCATAAAGTATTAAAAATTTCGCTTCATTTTGGGTCCATTTTTGTCAGAACTACCGACTTCCCATTAAGAAAGTTCAATAGATCGGAATTAAATGATGCCATTTGTATAAAATATCAGTTAAAGAGGAAAAACAATCTTCATGGTTTCTTAATATATTTTTCTCTCTTCGTTTTTTTTTTTTTTTCAAAGATAGTGAATATGTTGGTATCAAATGGATAGACTTACGTGAAATAGCATATATATAAATACCTGATTTCCGCTTCACTTTAGGAAATATCCAGCTTAAACTTGCTTTCGGTCGCACGGAGTAATGAGAAAGGAAAGTTTGCAATGTGTCTATATAACAGAAATCAACAGCAGAAACAGGAACTAGAAATGCAAACTTTAGGACAGGAGAGTCAGTTCAGCTGCTCTGGCGGAGTTTTGGGATTGGTAATGTGTACATGTGTGCGGAAACAGACAGGAATAGTTCGATAAATCGAGAGAGAGAGAGAGAGAGGGGGGGGGGGGGAGAGAGCGAGAGAGAGAGAGAAAGGAAGAACGAAGGAGACATACACACACACACCCTTAAGCATTTCTATTATCACTATTGTCTTTTAACATATTCCAACCTGGATATAGCATTTCCTTTTCTGTGTCTGTAAACTCTGGAATTCTCTGGGATTTTATTTTCGTTTTTCTTTTCACTGTTGAGAGATATCTGCAGTTTGAGTATCACACAAGTTCTGTGCATGTGCAGTATTAAATTTTGAGCTCTAAGATAATGATGGGCCAGAGATGTATCCAAAATTTACCCTGAATACGGTCATTGCGCATGTGCACTAGATATATGGATTAAATTTTAATACAAAATTAACTTCTTTTTTGTGTACAGAAGACGCCCTAAGTCTTCTTCAGCGCATTCTCGTGGCTCCTCATGGAACTCGCAGGGAGGCTTATGCATTGGCGCTCTCTTCTTCGCACAAGGATGGCTAGTGGTGGCAGCAAAACGGCATGCAAAACACTTGACACTAAGCTACCGCACCATCGCTTCACATCACCCTGGGCATGAAACACCCACCCATAATTATCATGATTAATGGAAATGATGATAACAATAATTAAGATAATAAATGTGATAATATTAATGAAAGTGATAACAATAATAATGACAGCAATGATGATGATGAAAAATATGATAATAATAGTAATGATATTGATGGCGAAAATGATAATGGGTATGATGGTAATAACGATAATGACAGTAATGATAATGTTGATAATTATACTGCTACCGCCATTACTACTAAAATATAGATATGCATGTGTGTATCAGTCAATCCGACGGGCCGCATCCACTCTTCGCATCCAGCCATGGGAGACCTTCATGGTGAGCTGACAGGCATGCCATCTCATAACTACTTTTCGAGCTGCCCAAGCCACGCCTTCTTAGGTCGTCCCGCGGGCGTCCTCCAAGCAGGATTGACTCGTGAAGAGACAACCTGATGAGCTGGGTCTCCGGCTGGAAAGCGAGATAGGTGCCTGTATAGCTTGAGTTGGCGGTCACGGATTCTGCAGGTAATAGGTCTCAAGCCAGTCTCACGGTGTAGGCATCAGTTAGACATATGATCCTGTCAACTGTATCCCATGATTCAATGTAGGGACGTTACAAAGGCCTTTTAGACACGTAATTTAGTCCTGCTTAGGTCCAAATACTTTTGACTGAGTTCATGGCTCCTGCCAGACCAATATGTCTACTGACTTGCTGGTGGGACATCCCAGAGATACAGACTTCACTGCCAAGGTGTGTAAGGCTCTCTGTGACGTCAACATCATCGTAAGCATGAACAGGTTCTGCTAGCAGGCCCCCAAAATCCTAGATATTGATGTTGGTTCAGGAGACCTCTAGGCCCAGGGGCTTCGCCTCATGCTGAATGCATCTGCGAGGGGGGCTTAGAGTTCAGTTTTCATAGAGCTTGGTAGGTAGGACAAAGGTCGTTTACTAAGGAAATGAGTTTCAACTTCCTCAGCAAGCTTCCTGGTGAACTGTTCCTTATCCCTTCTCGGCAGTGTCCGACCAAGGAACGCGCAGACCCAACTGCCTAGCGATATGCATCTGCGGCTTCCAGTGTCTCCGGCGAGATTAAATTTTGCCTTGTCCTCGGGCGTTCGCCAGTGGATTCCTGCGCTGCAACGAGTGTTTCACGCTCGAAGGAATCCCATACTGTTACAGTGTCCGTCAGGTTTTCGAGCACTGTAACCCGATCAGAGACTGTTGCGGCGAACCTCCGTGCACACTCCTCCCTCAATCTGTTCAAGCGAAATACCCTGGAAAGGCCAATGGAGAGACGAGGAGCTTTG